CACGCTTAAAAGGGCAATGGATAATTTGCTTCTGCACAAACATAATTACACATCTAATGAATCGTTATAATTAGTAGATTTTATTATTTACATTATTAAACTTCTATGTGCAATATTGAGTACAAAATACAATATGATAATTTATACTTTATTCTATTAAGTTATTTCTATTATCTAAAAAAGAAGTTTGATTTGAATCTACATAAGATAAAATTATTTTTAGTAAAATTAGAACTTGATTGTAGTACATATATGTATTAATAAAGTTACATTTATGTATATATAATATGAATTTTAAAAGTTAAGATTAACTACAGTGTAAATATAATGTAAAAATAAACAAACTTAGTGAAAATTATAGTATATAAAGTATAGTAGTTAGATATCAACAACAGATAAATGCATCATTCAATTTTTATTAATTTATTCTTCTGTTTCAAATCATGTTGGATAAGAGATTGTTCAATTTGATAGATTATTCACTCCGTATATTTAATTTTTTAAAAAATATATTTTAAATAATTTAATTTTTTTTAAATATATTTTAAATAATTTAAATTTAAAAATATATTTTAAATAACATGCGATAATATGTAGATAGACTGATTGTTATATAATCTTATCTACTTAACTATCAATAAAAAGTACTATGTTTGGTATGAGTTTTATAAAATTTGAATCTGATCCAATTTTAAATATATAAAACATGAATATAATTTAAATGTAAGATAAGTTTAAAAGATTTATCTGATTTTTTATTCCGTTATATTGTTTGTAAAACTCGACAAAATTTGAATTATATATAAATATATTAGATATATCAAATTTTAAAAATACACATTACATATATTTTTATTTAGAGTAACAAAATATGTAAATGTATACTTTTAATTGAAAGTAAAAAGGATATATAGTTATATATAAACCAAAGTTAAATAATTTATTAAAAAATATATTATATATAATCTTTTTAAGCTCAAATATATTTTTAATTTTACATATGAACTTAGTTAAAAATTAATCCAACCTAATGCAATAAGAAAGACTCATTTATTTGAAAAAATAAAATATTGCATTATATAAGTACTCTACTTATGGAAACTTTTATAGATTAAAGATTTGAGACATCTGACAACTTAAAAAACTTTTAC